CACTATGTCCCCTACAGCACCATGTAAACACATGTCCCCTACAGCACCATGTCCCCTACAGCACCATGTAAACACATGTCCCCTACAGCACCATGTAAACACATGTCCCCTACAGCACCATGTCCCCTACAGCACCATGTAAACACATGTCCCCTACAGCACCAAGTAAACACATGTCCCCTACAGCACCATGTAAACACATGTTCTATACAGCACCATGTAAACACATGTCCCCTACAGCACCATGTAAACACATATCCCCTACAGCACCGTGTCTCCTACAGCACCATGTAAACACATGTCCCCTACAGCACCATGTAAACACATGTCCCCTACAGCACTATGTAAACACATGTCCCCTACAGCACCATGTCCCCTACAGCACCATGTAAACACATGTCCCCTACAGCACCATGTCCCCTACAGCACCATGTAAACACATGTCCCCTACAGCACCATGTAAACACATGTCCCCTACAGCACCATGTTAACACATGTCCCCTACAGCACCATGTAAACACATGTCCCCTACAGCACCATGTCCCCTACAGCACCATGTAAACACATGTCCCCTACAGCACCATGTAAACACATGTCCCCTACAGCACCATGTAAACACATGTCCCCTACAGCACCATGTAAACACATGTCCCCTACAGCACCATGTCCCCTACAGCACCATGTAAACACATGTCCCCTACAGCACCATGTAAACACGTGTCCCCTACAGCACCATCTAAACACATGTCCCCTACAGCACCATGTAAACACATGTCCCCTACAGCACCATGTAAACACATGTCCCCTACAGCACCATGTAAACACATGTCCCCTACAGCACCATGTAAACACATGTCCCCTACAGCACCATGTAAACACATGTCCCCTACAGCACCATGTAAACACATGTCCCCCACAGCACCATGTAAACACATGTCCCCTACAGCACTATGTAAACACATGTCCCCTACAGCACCATGTAAACACATGTCCCCTACAGCACCATGTAAACACGTGTCCCCTACAGCACCATCTAAACACATGTCCCCTACAGCACCATGTCCCCTACAGCACCATGTAAACACATGTCCCCTACAGCACCATGTAAACACATGTCCCCTACAGCACCATGTAAACACATGTCCCCTACAGCACCATGTAAACACATGTCCCCTACAGCACCATGTAAACACATGTCCCCTACAGCACCATGTAAACACATGTCCCCTACAGCACCATGTAAACACATGTCCCCTACAGCACCATGTAACCACATGTCCCCCACAGCACCATGTAAACACATGTCCCCTACAGCACTATGTAAACACATGTCCCCTACAGCACCATGTCCCCTACAGCACCATTTAAACACATGTCCCCTACAGCACCATGTAACCACATGTCCCCCACAGCACCATGTAAACACATGTCCCCTACAGCACTATGTAAACACATGTCCCCTACAGCACCATGTCCCCTACAGCACCATTTAAACACATGTCCCCTACAGCACCATGTCCCCTACAGCACCATGTAAACACATGTCCCCTACAGCACCATGTCCCCTACAGCACCATGTAAACACATGTCCCCTACAGCACCATGTAAACACATGTCCCCTACAGCACCATGTAAACACATGTCCCCTACAGCACCATGTAAACACATGTCCCCTACAGCACCATGTCCCCTACAGCACCATGTAAACACATGTCCCCTACAGCATCATGTCCCCTACAGCACCATGTCCCCTACAGCACCATGTAAACACATGTCCCCTACAGCACCATGTAAACACATGTCCCCTACAGCACCATGTAAACACATGTCCCCTACAGCACTATGTCCCCTACAGCACCATGTAAACACATGTCCCCTACAGCACCATGTCCCCTACAGCACCATGTAAACACATGTCCCCTACAGCACCATGTAAACACATGTCCCCTACAGCACCATGTCCCCTACAGCACCATGTAAACACATGTCCCCTACAGCACCATGTAAACACATGTCCCCTACAGCATCATGTCCCCTACAGCACCATGTAAACACATATCCCCTACAGCACCGTGTCTCCTACAGCACCATGTAAACACATGTCCCCTACAGCACCATGTAAACACATGTCCCCTACAGCACTATGTAAACACATGTCCCCTACAGCACCATGTCCCCTACAGCACCATGTAAACACATGTCCCCTACAGCACCATGTCCCCTACAGCACCATGTAAACACATGTCCCCTACAGCACCATGTAAACACATGTCCCCTACAGCACCATGTAAACACATGTCCCCTACAGCACCATGTAAACACATGTCCCCTACAGCACCATGTCCCCTACAGCACCATGTAAACACATGTCCCCTACAGCACCATGTAAACACATGTCCCCTACAGCACCAAGTAAACACATGTCCCCTACAGCACCATGTAAACACATATCCCCTACAGCACCGTGTCTCCTACAGCACCATGTAAACACATGTCCCCTACAGCACCATGTAAACACATGTCCCCTACAGCACTATGTAAACACATGTCCCCTACAGCACCATGTCCCCTACAGCACCATGTAAACACATGTCCCCTACAGCACCATGTCCCCTACAGCACCATGTAAACACATGTCCCCTACAGCACCATGTAAACACATGTCCCCTACAGCACCATGTAAACACATGTCCCCTACAGCACCATGTAAACACATGTCCCCTACAGCACCATGTCCCCTACAGCACCATGTAAACACATGTCCCCTACAGCACCATGTAAACACATGTCCCCTACAGCACCATGTAAACACATGTCCCCTACAGCACCATGTAAACACATGTCCCCTACAGCACCATGTCCCCTACAGCACCATGTAAACACATGTCCCCTACAGCACCATGTAAACACATGTCCCCTACAGCACCATGTAAACACATGTCCCCTACAGCACCATGTAAACACATGTCCCCTACAGCACCATGTAAACACATGTCCCCTACAGCACCATGTAAACACGTGTCCCCTACAGCACCATCTAAACACATGTCCCCTACAGCACCATGTAAACACATGTCCCCTACAGCACCATGTAAACACATGTCCCCTACAGCACCATGTAAACACATGTCCCCTACAGCACCATGTAAACACATGTCCCCTACAGCACCATGTAAACACATGTCCCCTACAGCACCATGTAAACACATGTCCCCTACAGCACCATGTAAACACATGTCCCCTACAGCACCATGTAAACACATGTCCCCTACAGCACCATGTCCCCTACAGCACCATGTAAACACATGTCCCCTACAGCACCATGTCCCCTACAGCACCATGTAAACACATGTCCCCTACAGCACCATGTAAACACATGTCCCCTACAGCACCATGTAAACACATGCCCCCTACAGCACCATGTAAACACATGTCCTCTACAGCACCATGTAAACACATGTCCCCTACAGCACCATGTAAACACATGTCCCCTACAGCACTATGTCCCCTACAGCACCATGTAAACACATGTCCCCTACAGCACCATGTAACCACATGCCCCCTACAGCACCATGTAAACACATGTCCCCTACAGCACCATCTAAACACATGTCCCCTACAGCACCATGTCCCCTACAGCACCATGTAAACACATGTCCCCTACAGCACCATGTAACCACATGCCCCCTACAGCACCATGTAAACACATGTCCCCTACAGCACCATCTAAACACATGTCCCCTACAGCACCATGTCCCCTACAGCACCATGTAAACACATGTCCCCTACAGCACCATGTAAACACATGTCCCCTACAGCACTATGTAAACACATGTCCCCTACAGCACCATGTAAACACATGTCCCCTACAGCACCATGTAAACACATGTCCCCTACAGCACCATGTAAACACATGTCCCCTACAGCACCATGTCCCCTACAGCACCATGTAAACACATGTCCCCTACAGCACCATGTCCCCTACAGCACCATGTAAACACATGTCCCCTACAGCACCATGTAAACACATGTCCCCTACAGCACCATGTAAACACATGCCCCCTACAGCACCATGTAAACACATGTCCCCTACAGCACCATGTAAACACATGTCCCCTAAAGCACCATGTAAACACATGTCCCCTACAGCACTATGTCCCCTACAGCACCATGTAAACACATGTCCCCTACAGCACCATGTAACCACATGCCCCCTACAGCACCATGTAAACACATGTCCCCTACAGCACCATCTAAACACATGTCCCCTACAGCACCATGTCCCCTACAGCACCATGTAAACACATGTCCCCTACAGCACCATGTAAACACATGTCCCCTACAGCACCATGTCCCCTACAGCACCATGTAAACACATGTCCCCTACAGCACCATGTAAACACATGTCCCCTACAGCACCATGTAAACACATGTCCCCTACAGCACTATGTAAACACATGTCCCCTACAGCACCATGTAAACACATGTCCCCTACAGCACCATGTAAACACATGTCCCCTACAGCACCATGTAAACACATGTCCCCTACAGCACCATGTCCCCTACAGCACCATGTAAACACATGTCCCCTACAGCACCATGTCCCCTACAGCACCATGTAAACACATGTCCCCTACAGCACCATGTAAACACATGTCCCCTACAGCACCATGTAAACACATGTCCCCTACAGCACCATGTAAACACATGTCCCCTACAGCACCACCACCACCGAGGCAGCGAGGCACCGACACTAATTGAAGAGCGCGTCCCAGATCTCCCATCCCAAACAAAAGTGTGTGATTGCTATCTGATACCCGGCCCGCCTATAATTGCCCAAACCCCGAGCTCCCTTCCTTTGCTTACAAAATGTTGCTGGCTGTAATTGAGAAACGACAAACTCTGTCGGCACATGGCCCTTGCTGCAATCATCACTCCGCCCCACCCCCGCCATGCAAACAGGTGTCCCGCCCCCGCGCCCTACAGCAACCCTTTCCTACCTGACCATACGAGATGCAAGGCTTGAGATTTCCTGGCGATGACCTTGACCCAGATGTGACCTTGACCGCAGACGACGTCCACGACGAGGTTGTCTGGTCGGGTCGGTAGAGTGAATGGCTGGAGGATCTGAACGACGCCAGGCAGCGACTCGGCTGCGTGGATCAAGCTGGCGTAGTGGCCCAGGTTGCTACTGTTTAAGTGGTTGCCTTGGATCACATCCCTCTTTCTCTTTAGCTGTCAATTACAAATAAACATTTGAAACAGGGAGAGGGGAGCACAGAATATTTAACACTAAAACAACGACCACTAACTACGAGCCAACGTAGGTTACCACGGACATTAAGGACCGGCCAGTGTTTCTTCCCGACTTTTTTCTCCGGCAGGGGGGGGGGGGGGGGCATTTGAAATTTTCGGGGGGGGGGGGGGTGGACATTGTTAAAAGAAGAGATGCCTGGAAGAAACTCTGGTACCGGCATATACATAAAATTTAGGTTTGGGGGTGTTTGGTGGTGGTGGTGGTGGGGGGGGGGAGGGGGGTGACGTGAATGTAAGGTGATAACTTGTGATATAACAATTTAATAAGCAAACTTTTTTTTTTACACGGCTACATCTCAAGTTTTAACATCGAACAACCAAGGGTCTACAGACACATTTCTCAAAACTTGACGATTCCAATCAAACGCTAGCCATGGTTTGGAAAATTCAGGACAGATACAACACTATGCAGTAACTTGATGTTTTTTTTAGTGTGGATTACCAAAGTCCGTGAGTATGGATGATTGGTAGGTTCGAATTTCTGATACAATGGAAGCAGTCACCGTATTAATTAACAGAGTTGGTGAAAAGCAGGTGGTTCTTGTAGTAGACACACCTTTTTACCTGCCCTCGTGCGCCTTATGGGTCTCAGGTAAACATTTTAAAATTGTATACTTATTGAGTTGAGGGGAAGGCGGAGGTGTTCAATATGTCGTAAAATACACAGGTTTATTGGAATAAGGTACGTTCATGGACTACAATGGTATTACCATGAATGGTTTAAAATCAAAATCATTTATTTAGATCTAGTCTGTTTTCAGTCCTATTGGGTAGACATCGAGTTATGGGCCCTCTTTGATGTCTTCTCAGAAACGACTTCCTTTTTCCAAAAACAATCACTATTCTTGGGCCCCCTTCTCGTCCTCGTTATGAGCGTCTCGGTAAAGATTGCCTTGTGTGAAAAAATAAAACAATCACTATTCTTGGGCCCCCTTCTCATTCTCGTTATGGGGGTCTCAGTAAAGATTGCTTTGTGGGAAAAAAATTCACTATTCATGGCCCCCTTTCCTTGTGGAAAAAAACAATAAGAATTCTTGCTTCCCCGCTTTACCGGTGCCACGGGGTCTCATTAACGACGTCCTTGTTCCGTAGACAATCGGTCTTATGGGGGTCCCCGCGTGTCAGGCTGAGCAGCCAGCGTATTACGTTGGCTTTTGGTCACGTGACTGTAATATTGATCACGGGCCGACAAAGACGAGGAACGCGCGCAATCCATCTCTCCACAGACTCCCCTTCGCCAGGCCTTTCAAACGCGCGTGCAAGTGTGAGTACTCGAGTCACTATTAGAGTAAAGCTTTACAAGATTCTGTTGGGTGGTTCTTTTTTTTTAAATCGTTCAGCGACCGTACATCTACAAGTGTTTGATTGGGTGAGTAACCTTTTACTTTGTTTACGTTGGCGAGTGTCAAGGACAATGAGTGTTTACATCGGGGTGTGCTGTGTGACATCACAATGTGCTGTGTGACATCACGATGTGCTGTGTGTGACATTGAGATGTGCTGAGTGTGACATCACGATGTGCTGTGTCACATCACGATGTGCTGTGTGTGACATCACGATGTGCTGTGTGTCACATCATGATGTGCTGTGTGTGACATCACGATGTGCTGTGTGTCACATCATGATGTGTTGTGTGTCACATCATGATGTGCAGTGTGTCACATCACGATGTGCTGTGTGTGACATCACGATGTGCAGTGTGCCACATCATGTGTTGTGTGTCACATCACGATGTGCTGTGTGTGACATCACGATGTGCAGTGTGTCACATCATGATGTGCAGTGTGTCACATCACGATGTGCTGTGTGTGACATCACGATGTGCTGTGTGTGACATCACGATGTGCTGTGTGTGACATGACGATGTACTGTGTGTCACATCACGATGAAGTTGGGGAAGCATAGTGATGTTTCAAACCATCGTGATGTTTGTCGATCCTCGTTTTCTGTTTAGTGAGACATTGTGATGTTCTATATAAATCTATAAAACCCTGAAGTAAGGTTTATAAAACATCGTGATGTTATTAGTGTAGCAAAGTTATAAGTAATGTCGACACTGAAATACGTTTTGTGAAACATCTTGATGTGGTTTGTGTAACATCCAGATGTTATTGATGTAGCAAAATTATAAGCCATGTCAAACATTAAGATAAGGTTGATGCTGTGCTTGCAAAACATTGATACGGTCCGTCGATAAATGCAACGACGAAAGAAGTTGTAATCTTGGCGAAACAAATAAGTCGCAACCAGATTGTATCAATGGCGTGTCTTCAGCGTCGATTAGCTGATCAACGTTGGTGTACTGATGGGACCAAAAAACTTGCATGTAAAACTAAAGCAGGAATGTTAAGGGTAACTCCTTCAATGTGACTTTATGCTGGTCAAATAGGTGACCTAACTGTGGATATAATCGGTTTGTACTGCATACAATTAACGGAACATTGGGCATACTCCGTGTAGTAATGTACGTTATACAATTAACGGAACTGCGTACACTGTATGGAAATGTAGGCTATGTCATACAATTGACGGAATTGTGTACATACTACGTATAGTAATGTACCGGCTAATGACCTCCTCCCCTCCCCCTCCTGTGGTCGCTAATTGTGGCTACAACGAACGTTTGAGATTACAGTGGCCCCTCTGTGGATTGTGGCCAAGACGAACGTTTGAGATTACAGTGGCCCCTCTGTGAATTGTGGCTACAACGAACATTTGAGACTACAGTGGCCCCTCTGTGGATTGTGGCCAAGACGAACGTTTGAGATTACAGTGGCCCCTCTGTGAATTGTGGCTACAACGAACATTTGAGATTACAGTGGCCCCTCTGTGGATTGTGGCCAAGACGAACGTTTGAGATTACAGTGGCCCCTCTGTGAATTGTGGCTACAACGAACATTTGAGACTACAGTGGCCCCTCTGTGAATTGTGGCCAAGACGAACATTTGAGATTACAGTGGCCCCTCTGTGAATTGTGGCCAAGACGAACGTTTGAGATTACAGTGGCCTCTCTGTGAATTGTGGCCCTCTTGACGCGTTGACAGCCTCTAATCTCCATCGGCCGTTCCTAGCATTTGTCCACTGAATCATTTCCCCCGTGAAATCACGTTTTCCCTTACGTTCGACTAAATGTTTCGTCCATGTGGAGTCGTGTGTGGTAAAGTGGTCTAGTAAGGAGATCAAATATGATATCAAGGCGATAGGAGGGACGGTCGTCAGGTGTCTGATAGACAATGTTACGGGTCAAAGAATTGTATGTCATGGTCAAAGATAGTTTAAGTTTAAGGGGAAGGTCAAACACAGATAATGTGAGGTGAAGGTCAAACAAAGATATTTTGAGGTGAAGGTCAAACACGGATAATAAGAGGTGAAGGTCAAACAAAGTCGATGGGGGGAGGGGGGGGGGTGTGTGAAAGTCAAACAGAGACAATATGAGGTGAAGGTCAAAATGATATTATGAGGTGAAGGTCAGACACAGATAATATGCGGTGAAGGTCAAATGCGGATAACATGAGGTGAAGGTCAAACAAAGACGATGGGAGGTGAAGGTCAAACATAGACAATGTATGTGATGTGAAGGTCAAACGGATATTATGAGGTGAAGGTCAAACACATATAATATGAGGTGAAGGTCAAACACAGATAATATGAGGTGAAGGTCAAACACAGATAATATGAGGTGAAGGTCAAACGCGGATAATAAGAGGAGAAGGTCAAACAATGTGAGATGAAGATCAAACACAATGTGAGATGAAGGTCAAACAGAATGAGGGGGGGGGGGGGGAGTCAAACAAAGACGATGTTAGGTGATGGTCAAACAGACAACATGAGGTTTAAGGTGAAGGTCAAATATAGACGATTGCATACTGTACCGGCAGAATAGTTAGTCGTATCGGCAGGATATTTAGTTTTATAGGCAGGATATTTAGTTGTAATGGCAGGATATTTAGTCGTATCGGCAGGATATTTAGTCATATAGGCAGGATTTTTAGTTGTATCGGCAGGATATTTATTCGTATCGGCTGGATATTTAGTTTTATAGGCAGGATATTTAGTTGTAATGGCAGGATATTTAGTCGTATCGGCAGGATATTTAGTCATATAGGCAGGATTTTTAGTTGTATCGGCAGGATATTTAGTCGTATCGGCTGGATATTTAGTCGTATCGGCAGGATATTTAGTCGTATCGGCAGGATATTTAGTCGTATCTGCAGGATATTTAGTCGTATCTGCAGGATATTTAGTCGTATCTGCAGGATATTTAGTTGTATCGGCAGGATATTTAGTCGTATCGGCAGGATATTTAGTCGTATCTGCAGGATATTTAGTCGTATCTGCAGGATATTTAGTCGTATCGGCAGGATATTTAATCGCGTTTCTGTATCACAATACCGTTTCATCATCTGACGTCTCAGTTCGGCGCTATCCCCCCCCCCCTTTCCGTTTCCACCTGGCTGAGAATGTTTACCTGTGGGCACGTGTAAGATGCGCAGTACACTCGCCTTAATGCGGAGCTACCAACAAACAAATACATGCTAGCACGTGAGGACTTGTGTAAACAAATATGGGTGTTAGGGGAACAGGCAACAAAATGGTTGGTTCATGGTTAGTTGTGGTATAACGTGTACACACATACTGGACACTGTATATACATACATAATTGACACTGTATATACCTAGATACTTGAAACATTATGTTGTTATGTACATAGATATTCGGCACAACAAGTACATAGTTACTGCATGAATCACCAGCTTTCAACAGCCATCTCTAGATCTAGTAGTTTATTCATATGTTCTAGACATACGACTTATCTACTTGGATGAATATTTTATGAGCTATCAACATGGACTAGACATTCATCTATCAACATGGACTAGACATTCATTTATCAACATGGACTAGACATTCTGTCATCTATCAACATGGACTTGACATTCTGTCATCTATCAACAGGGACATTCTGTCATCTATCAACATGGACATCCTGTCATCTATCAACATGGACATTCTGTCATCTATCAACATGGACTTGACATCCTGTCATCTATCAACATGGACTTGACATTCTGTCATCTATCAACATGGACTTGACATTCTGTCATCTATCAACATGGACTAGACATTCATCTATCAACATGGACTAGACATTCATCTATCAACATGGACTAAACATTCATCTATCAACATGGACTAGACATTCTGTCATCTATCAACATGGACTAGACATTCATCTATCAACATGGACTAAACATTCATCTATCAACATGGACTAGACATTCTGTCATCTATCAACATGGACTAGACATTCATCTATCAACATGGACTAAACATTCATCTATCAACATGGACTAGACATTCTGTCATCTATCAACATGGACTAGACATTCTGTCATCTATCAACATGGACTAGACATTCTGTCATCTATCAACATGGACTAGACATTCTGTCATCTATCAACATGGACTAGACATTCTGTCATCTATCAACATGGACATTTTGTCATCTATCAACATGGACATTCTGTCATCTATTCTGTCATCTATCAACATGGACTAGACAATCTGTCATCTATCAACATAGATCTGATATTCTGTGAACTATCAAAAACCAGAAACATAGCTTAGCTGTAGCCTAAACCATACGAATGCCAAATCCACAACCATAAAATTTAAACCCACAACCACACACCCAACAGCCATAACCACACACTAAACATCCCCAACCACAAACTTTAAACCACAACACAACCACTCACCCAACACCCATAACCACACACCCAATACCCTTAACCACACAATCAACACACACAACCACACACCCAATACCCATCACCACACACCCAATACCCATCACCACACACCCAACACCCATAACCACACACCCAACAGCCATAACCACACACTAAACATCCCCAACCACAAACTTTAAACCACAACCACTCACCCAACACCCATAACCACACAATCAACACACACAACCACACACTCAACATCCGTGAGCACCAGAAAATGACAAGAATGTTCTTCACGGTTTTATTATAGATTAGCGGCCGCTAAAATTAGCTACATTACTGTAAGGCTATGCGAAACAATGTCCAAAAATCATCCCAATTAATTCAATAATTAATCTTGAAATTTGAGACAATGTCCCACCATTTTTGGCCGGCGAAACAGGAGTGATAAGGTTTTTTTTTCTTTCATCAACTGGAATGGATGCTGATTGTGTTAAACCAAAGAAACTTCCAGAAAAATCGATTTCTATGTGGTGGTGGGTGAGGGGGGGGGGGGGCATTCGACGAGGAAAAATAATTGTCATTAATAATCGTTGTGGGATAAAAGTAAAACAAATGAAGGGCCCTGGTCAA